TGAACAAAAGACTTTTGATGAAGGTAGAATGTTCCTAGTTGCTTGCTCATTTTCAAAACACAAACACCATTTTAAATGCACCAACACTTTCCATTGAAATATTTTCAAAAGTTAAAACACTTTGTATACATTCTTATAGAGACGGGAATCATTACAAAGTTTGCCTAAATGAAGGCACTTTTCAAAAATACTTTCAAAAAACAACCACAAAGCACACTTTCAAACAAAAGCAATGATCTAGCAAGAAACTAAGAGCCCATAGATAACTATGAATGAAAAGGGTGATAACACCTTCCCTTTTCATAATCTATCCCCGAACTCAAGAAAATAATCTCAAAGGTCTTTCCTGTTCTTTTCACCCTTTCCTTCATTGGATAAAAGAAAAATCGGTGGCGTCTCTTTCTATGCGCAACAATTACGATCAAACGCAAAACATCCCAAGTCAGTTCTCCCACTGTGTTACAGTGGTCAAATCAAGTTATTTAGGTTGAGTGAAGTGAACAATGTAATGAGTATTATATTGTTTAATTGATATCACAATTTATTTGAATGTGTATTATAGATGTGAGTAGAAGACAAGTTAAAGCTATAATTTATTTATGACCAATTAGCATGAACTAATCTATGGCCATTTTAAAGTAATTCCTTGATAGCAGTTTGAAACATAACAAAATTAGCAAAATATGTTATATTGAATATCATATTTTGTATTGTAAATGAATTGTTATATTAAGTGAATATGCTAAAATGTTATATTAAGTGAAGTAGATAAAGTTTGTGTTATATGCCTTCCCAACTTGTTTTAGTTGTTACAAACAAAAGGATAAATAGATTAATTGTAACTGACAAAAGTATTGTGGAATATCTTATAAACATCACACTAAACAAAAAAGTTACATATTGTATGGAAAACATGGTTATGCAACTGTTGTACCCCAAAATTTGCCCTCTCTTTTCTCAAGGAATTTCTCACAAGGATTCTAAAAAATTCAAGCTTGCACAAGTAAAATTGTATTTTTCAGCATCAACTTAAAGAGGAAACTGTGAAAAAGGGGCAAAACAGATAAAAAACATTTTTTTTAAAGGAACAACAAGTTTTATTCAATTTCCCTTGTTTCAATTGGACAAATGGTTGCCTGCATGCCTGCTTCGATTGGACATTTAATGCTTGCATTGGACAAGTTTTGATTGGACAAATGTTTGCCTGCATTCCTGTTACGATTGGACATTTGATGCCTACATGCCTGTTGTTAGAACATAATATAGTTCTACATACCAGTTAGAGTTTTGATGATAACAAACACATGATATACTTATATAAAGAACAACAATGCTCGCTAATAAAGTATCCTTATATGAAGGGAAGTTCTGATGAGACGAAGATCTGCTAGATCATTTGGAAGTTCTGAAGTAAGAAGCATAGAAGATCTGATAGATCATCTAGAAATTATGATATAAGAAGATCTGTTCAGACATGACATAAGAAAATCTGTGTAACACGCTGAATGAAGAAGTTCTATGTTACAACTTTTGAATGCACCAACGCTGTGTAAACAGGATCTCTGATACTCTAATCTGTAAAGCTCTGAACAAGCAATAAGGGACTCCCAAAGGTAATATTCATCCTCTGATGTGAGAAGTTCTAGAGCGTTATAGCTTATCAATGCATATCAAAAGTAACAGCTATAAAGAGACAAGAATCTCCAGGTTTGAAAAGTTCATTAATTCGTGTTATGAACATTCCTAAAGAATCTTCTTATGTCACTGTTGCATGGCCTATATAAAGCGAACGCATAGAAGAAATCAAGTGATGAACTACTACACACAAAAAGAAGAAATCACGTGAAACTAAAACAACACAGCAATCATCTTTCATCCTTAAACATTCATATTTAAACTGTGTAAAACATCACTGTCAGTGATACTGTTTTATTAGAAACATTATTGTACACATTTATTCAATTACTATTTAGACATTTCCTTGAGAAAACTGGGTTGTGGTTTTGGACTCAAGAAGACTTTGACAGTTGTCAAATTATATTTGTAATCAAGATTTATTAGTGGATTAAGACCTCTTTGGAGAGAGGTGAAATCACCTTGGAGGGTGGACTGGAGTAGTTTGAGTTCAACGAACCAGGATAAAAATCATCGTGTACTTTCCATTGTATTTTGAGATTCCAATTCAACCCCCATTTCTTGTGTTTTTCCCTTCTTCACCTGTTTCGATTGGACAAGCTTCAATTGGACAAATAACTCCCTCTATGCTTGCTTCGAATTCACCTTCATGCCTGTTTCAAATCCACCTTTAGCATTGGCCTCATACATGAAGTACAAGGCAAGGGCCTTCTGCCTGCCTGCCTGCAAAAGGGCAACACTTAACCTCTTTCTAGCTTCGACTGGGTTTTGTTTCCCTTTGAAACAGTTTCCTTCAATTCAGAAGGCAAGGGCCTTCTGAAAGCTCCCTTCGAGTCAGTAGTTAGTGGCTTAATGTTGGTTCCTTTCGATTCAGAGGGAAATGACCTTATGAAAGTATCCTTCAATTCATGAGGCAATGGCCTCCTGCAACTTTCCTTCGACTCAGGAGCCAATAGTCTTGCATATTCACAAAACATGGACTTCCTTTATACAAGTCTCATTGGGACAAGAAGAGACCCCCTGCATAGCTTACTTCGATTCCACCCTTGAAAATATTCAACGCATAATGACGCACAATTGTTGTCCCAATCAAAGGACATGTTTGATGGCCCAGTCGAAGGACCTGCAAGACATAACTGGATGTCCCATTTGAAGGACATGTTTGGTGGCCCATTCGAAGAACCTGCAAGACATACCTTGTTGTTCCATTCGAAGGACATACTTTGGTGGCCCATTTGAAGGACCTTCAAGACATACCCGGATGTCCCATTCGAAGGACATATTTTTGTGACCCATTCAAGGGGCACACATTTGTCCCCTTAGAAGGATGCACAAAAAAAGTCCATTCGAAAGGAACATATTGTTTGTCTAAAAGAGAGGATCTGGTCCAAGGTTGGACTTTTGAAGTCAAAACGAAAGTTTGGAAATATTCAAAGGTGTTTGTGCTGCTATACTGGCCTTAATGCTCCAAAACTGCTACACAGCAGTACTGCTACATTGCTCCTGTATTTGCACCAATTTGGCATACGAATACTGCCCCTCGAAAGCTACAAAAACAGTATACCCAATTTGTTAAAATTGTTTTATTTTCCCTTCTAAACTTCAGCCAACTTCATCTATAAATAAGAGGATCCATAACACATCTAGGGGGCTACACAACACATCCATAGGCTTTTGGTAGCTGGGAAAAATTTGATTGTGTGAAAATCATCAAACACTTAACACATTATCATACCCATATTCAAAAGACCATACCTTTGTTTCTGACCCTTTCGAATCCAACACAAGAAACACAACACCTGTTTCTTTTCACTTTCGAATCCAGGAACAACCCCACACTTTGTTTTTCTTTCGAATCCAGTAGAAAGAACACTACACCTGTTCTTCTCCTTCAAATCCAGAAATAATAAACACAATCCGACTCCTCTTGACTTTTGAATCCAGTCAAAGAAACACCACACTTGTTTCTTTCCTTCGAATCCAGGAGTATCTAGTCTAATCACTCAAGGTCAAACACACGCATCCTAGCTTCAAGCAAGGTAAGTCCTCTTAACCTTTAAGCTTTTCATTTAAAACACAGTGTGTAAATAACCATTTCCTTTTGTTTCAAACATCATTATTATCCTTTGGCTTATTTTCGTTTCCAGCTTTTCAGTTTGTTTTCATTGCTAACCTTTTGGTTTTGTTTCTTGGTTTATCATACGTTTTTAAGAACTAACCTGGCCATGAGACAATACTAGCATGGCCTCCAGCCATGTTGCTATTAAAATCCCAAACGAAAGAAAACCGTAGAAAGGAAGTGTGAATCGAAGCTTTAGGCTTCATCCTTGGCTGCTCCACAGTTGCAAGAAGAACAAAGAGTGTGGCCTTAAGCTTCTCCACACACTGATTTCCAAGTGAAACAACCGGCTGAAAATCATCAAACAATGCAGTCGCCATCAAACGTCTTTTATCCCACATGTAGGGAAAGGTAAACTTCGAGAAAACCTGAGAAGGGAGAATTCACAGTCTTGTGACCGAGAGATCGGGTAAGGGAGTCTGTTACGCGAGGGGAAGGTATTAGCACACCACACGCCCGTAGTACTCTATAATATCCACTCTTGTTGTCTATCTTATGGGTGTGAAGGGTGTGTTTAATCTATGCTTATTGTTTACTATACTACTGAAGGGAGAATTCATGCAAAATAAAGGGAAAAAGAATGTAGGGAAAATAAATTTATGCTCGCTTAGGCCCTACCATAATGCCTATGTATCCTTTTTGAGGAATCAGAGCTACCGTAGTTCGGCTCATATGTTTTTGTTTGTTTGTTTTTTTTAACGGACAGTGTTAATCCTGCCTTCTACTGCAGCTCGACCTTTAGAGACTTATGCGTTGGCACAGAAGTAAACTAATCATGTCCTTACCTAAAAATGGTTTTAGATAAAAGGTGCTCGAGCGTACAAAGTGGTTTGAATTGGTTTATGTTTTTGTTACCTTGAAAAAGGGTTTTAGAGAAAAGGTGCTGGAGCGCACAAATTGGCATATCTCTACTATTTTATCATGGCATTCCTATCACAACAATAAAAATTGAATGAAAACTATTTAAAAGAAATCAAAGCCACCATCATAGGGGTGAAAGCATAAGTCTGGTGCGTAACTAGCAAGCCTAGGTGGATGGCCCAGACTAGAGTCCATGATCTAGCATCTTATTTTAATGCTTAGTTTCAACAAAAACGGGCATAATTCCATTGAGTTTCATCCCATGAGCCCTATAGTCTAAATCCAAATGTTATCTATATTATATTCAGCATTATCAATCTAACAAGCAACATTAGCAAGAATTAACAAATAAACATGGAGAAATTAATGAAATAAGAGAGTGAGAATGGTGAACATTTTTTTGGGATTTAGGGTTAACATAGCGATTCTTGAAATCCCATGGCTTGAGTCTTCTTCTTCTCTCAAACCAAATCGGCGCCGAACATATTCGATTCACCACCTCTTCTCAAGGACTCCGTCGTCAAGTACACGCACACCATCACATTTTTCCTCTACTGGAGACAAGTATTCATGAGTCAAGCCTTCGAGAGATCCAGAAGAGAACTCCAGTATACGTTTCTTTCTTCAAGATGTGATTCTTCCTACTCCTTCTGATTTTTTCGTTTTAGATTTCGCCGCACTTGAATCGCCAGAGGTGACGATGTGGAATGATAATGATGATTAAAGCTATCGGCCGATTCAGAAGTAGGGATTCAAGAGGCTCGATGCGGTTCAGAGAGAAAGGGAGTCTTCTGAGTTTCTGAATTTTGGTGAGTTTTTCCTTCTGAAACTCTTTCTTGAGTTTTCTGCGTACTCTCGTGAAATATGCGTTTTTGGTGTGGTAAGGGAAGTTATAGATGCGATGACGGTCAAAGCAATGTCGAGAAATCGTTTTTGTGGATTGTTGATGAAGAGATAGAGATTTAAGATGAAGATGCCGAGAAGATTGATTTTGTGGTGATGATTCTTGCGGAAATTGAAGAAAAATGATGAAGTTTGAATAAGGAAGCTGAGAAATTGAAGAATCTGAACAAAAGTTTGTTACAGATTTTTTGATTTTTCTCTGTGGTGAGTTTCTCAAATCTTTTCTATGGCTTTTTGTATTGTGAATGTGAATAATGATAAGTGTGTGTATCAGTGGTAATAATGAATCTCTGAGATATGAATGAATCCTCCCTTCCTTTGTGTATAAAAATTCTATTATATCACTTCTAGGGGATTTGTTAAAGACTTTGTAAATTTTGAGGGTTGTGACAGTTAGTTAGGGAGAGGAAAATTTTAGTAAGTTAAAAGTTATGTTATAAAATCTGTTAGGAGTTAGAGAAGTTAGTTGAACTCTGTTATGGAGCTGTTAGAATTTTTGTTGGGAAGTTGTTAGAAGTGTTAGGGAATTTTGTTGAGAGTTTTTTTATGAAATTTTGTGAGGAATTCTGTTATAGGATAGTTAGGATAGCTGGGATATGGTTTTGGATTATAACTCTGTTGGGAAAACGGTTGAGAGTTTGTTATGACAGCTAGAAATTGGTTGAGATTTTCTGTTATGGTCTGTTAGGAGTGGTTAGAGGATTTGTTAGAGAATATCTCAGATTTTCTATTGGCTACAAGCTTGTTTCTGTTGAGAAGTAGTTAGTAATCCTTTTGGACAGTTGGTTACGGTTAGAGGAAGTTAGAAATCCTATTGTAAACTGAATGGTGCAGTAGAAAGGTTAGAGAATTAGTTTTGGACTCTATTAGCTAACTATGTTAAATGATGCTGAGCTGACTGTTTCTGATTTTTTCTGCGAAATTTATTTCTTCTTTAAGATATTGTGCCGCTGGTTCAGAATTGTAGTTTAGCTAATAAGTCTCAGTTTATGAAGGCTTGTAAAAATGATGAACTGCTTCAGCATAGCCCTAAGTATATGATTAGGTTGCAAAATGGTCTGATTTATGTTTATGGTTTATTTGATTATGTGCAGGGCTTGAAGATGGCAATTATGTTTTCTTTACTTGAAGCATCAATTCCTATTACACCCGAGGAAGAGCATTATCCAGTGTTATCCGTCTCAGTATCTAGGAATCTGATACAAGTGCCATATTTGACTTTGAAGAGGAACAACTATCATTTACTACCAATGCCTAATTTTTTTTTGTATGTTATCTTTGGTGTAATATAATTGTAAATGGATTTGCAAGTGATGTTGAATATTACTTGAAATGGTTTTTGTAATGGAAACTTTGATTTGGAGTTATTTAAACATGTAAGGATTTTGGTCAAAGTTGTGATGCATCATTGAATTTGTAATAAACAAAACTTGAATCAAGTTGAGTTGTTTTCCATCCATTGTTGTTTCATTTAAAATTTCAAGTCTTCTCCCATTTGTACTTTATGCCATGCCATGCTACACTTAGATAAACCACGAGATGAAAACCAAAAGTGACTAAAAATACATTGGTCAAAGGTCCACCTTTCGTGGTTTACTGTGACTAAGAGTCAAGGGTTGCACAAAAGACTTCCTTCTTAGAAAAGATCCCCAAAATACTCCATGTAAAACCTCAGATATTTGTATAAGATCCAAAGTAAATGTCTTGAACCAATCTTTGAATTGACGATAATAAACTCAATTGAACCAAACTTCAAATGATGATAGGAACCAAGAGAGACCTTAATACGTTGAACCAAACCATATGATAGTTATGGCTAAACAAAACCGAATTCACTTGATAACATAAGTGCACTGAAAAGAACCCCAATCCAAGTGGTGATTACAACACAGATACTGCTTCTCAAACCCTGGTCCTTATGAATTTCCATACATAATGCAGAGTCTCCTGAATGAAATCCAATTGAATGACTTGTACTAGAAGCAACAAATAACAACAACATCTTGATCACCATATGATTCCACAACAATATCTTTGTGTCATAACTCAAAACTTTTGCACCTCAATCTTCAAAGATATCTCGACTTGCAGAGCCCACAATATAACTGGCTTAAAGAACTCTTGGAGATGGATGATGAGGCTCGAAATAGTGAAGAAGACCCAAACCCTAGCTCAAAGCAATCTCTATTGAAAAACCGATATTGAAACCCTAATTCCTGAAGGTTCTCGACCCCTTGCCAAGTTATGTTGTTAGTGAATAAATGTAATATTAAATGACCTAATGGAGTTATGTACATGAGAAAAGTGCGACACTGCATAAACCAGATAAAAGTAAAAGGGTAGGACAACTTTGGGGTATTACAACTGCCCCTATTTAATCGTCTTAAACCTGAAAGTACGATTGGTGCATGCCTTTCGGAAGTCCAAGGTTGAAGATGATTAAATACAAATGCCAAAAATTTGTCCTGAGAGAGAGTGTAAGTGTTTCTTTATTTGTTTTGTGATATCTGCTGGGGGAAAGAATTTTTTTGTTTTTTCAGTGAAGAGACGAAGATTGGACTTGTAATGTGGCGTGATGCCAATAAAAGACAAAGGTTGGTATGAAAATACAGCGGACAAGGTCTATGGGTGACCTACGATCCTAAGGTGAAACACGAGAGTGATTTGACAGAGAACCTAGCCTAAGGGCGATCTCAGGTTCTAAGACAAGATATAAGGGAAGAACCTAGCCAACAGGCGATCTCAGGTCCGACGATGATTTGAGGGGAGAACCTAGCCAAGAGGCGATCTCAGGTCCAACGATAATCTAAGGAAGAACCTAGCCAAGAGGCGATCTCAGGTTCGACGATGATTTATGGGAAGAACCTAGCCTACGGGCGATCTCAGGTTCGAAGATGATCTGATGGAAAAACTTAGCCAAGAGGCAATCTCAGGTTCGACGATGATCTATGGGAAGAACCTAGCCTATGGGCGATCTTAGGTTCGAAGATGATCTGATGGAAGAACCTAGCCAAGAGGCAATCTCAGGTTCGACGATGATCTATGGGAAGAACCTAGCCTACGGGAGATCTCAGGTTCGACGATGATCTAAGGAAGAACCTAGCCTACGAGCGATCTTAGGATAGAAGATGATCTATGGAAAGAACCTAACCTACGGGCGATCTCAGGTTCGAAGGTGATCTTTTGAAGAACCTAGCCAAGAGGCAATCTCAGGTTCAATGATGATCTATGGGAAGAACCTAGCCTACGGGCGATCTCAGGCTCGAAGATGATCTGATGGAAGAACCTAGCCAAGAGGTGATCTCAGGTTCGACGATGATCTATGGGAAGAACCTAGCCTACGGACGATCTTAGGTTCGACGATGATCTAAGGAAGAACCTAGCCTACATGAGATCTTAGGTTCAAAGATGATCTATGGAAAGAACCTAACCTACGGGCGATCTCAGGTTCGAAGATGATCTGAGGGAAGAACCTAGCCAAGAGGTGATCTCAGGTTCGACGATGATCTATGGGAAGAACCTAGCCTACGGGCGATCTCAGGTTCGACGATGATCTAAGGAAGAACCTAGCCTACGGGCGATCTTAGGTTTGAAGATGATTTATGGAAGAACCTAGCCTACGGGTGATCTCAGGTTCGAAGATGATTTATGGAAGAACCTAGCCAAGAGGCAACCTCAGGTTCGGCGATGATCTAAGGAAGAACCTAGCCTACGGGTGATCTCGGGTTCTAAGATGATCTGAGGAAGAACCTAGCCTACGGGAGATCTCAAGTTCGACGATGATCTATGGGAAGAACCTATCCTACGGGAGATCTCAGGTTCTAAGATGATATGAGGAAGAACCTAGCCTACGGTCGATCTTAGGTTCTAAGATGATCCGAGGAAGAACCTAGGCTATGGGCGATCTCAGGTTCGAAGATGGTGGCAGTATTGGTCACGACACGATAACAAAAAGGAGGACATCGATCAGGACACGATGGTTCGAGGAGAGGCATCGATCAGAACACGATAACCAAAAGGAAGACATCAATCATGACACGACGGCTAACAGGAATACATTGATCAGGACACGATGATTAATAGGGAGGTAGTATGATGCAAACACAAGGATAGAGAAGACTTGTAACGTGGCGCGATGCCAATACAAGGGATGTATAACATGGACGAGTGTTTAATTCTATACAGACGAGTATCGAAAGAAGATACAGACGAGTATCAAGAAAGTTTAAACACGGACGAGTGTTTGAATCAATACTGACGAGTATTGAAAGAAGATACGGACGAGTATCAAAAGGTTAAACACAAACGAGTGTTTGAATCAATACAGACGAGTATTGAAAAAAGATATGAACGAGCATCAAAAGGTTAATCACGTGCGAGTGTTTGAATCAATACAGATGAGTATTGAAAGAAGATACAAACAAGTATCAAAAGGTTAAACACGGACGAGTGTTTGAATCAATACGGACGAGTATTGAAGGAAGATACGTACAAGGATCAAAAGGGTTAAACACAGATGAGTGTTTGAATCAATACAGACGAGTATTGAAGGAAGATACATACGAGTATTAAAAGGGTTAAACACGGACGAGTGTTTGAATCAATACGGACTAGAATTGAAAGAGGATACAAACGAGTATCAAAAGGTTAAATATGGACGAGTGTTTGAATCAATACGGACGAGTATTGAAAGAAGAAACGAACGAGTATCAAAATGTTAAACACGGACGAGTGTTTGAATCAATACGGACGAGTATCGAAAGAAGATATGGACAAGTATCAAGGAAGAGATAACACGAACGAGTGTTAGAATAAATACAGATGAGTACTGAAGGAAGATATGGACGAGTATCAAAAGGTTTAAACACAGATGAGCGTTTGAATCAATACGGACGAGTACTAAAAGAAGATACAGACGAGTATCAAGGAAGAGATAACACAGACGAGTGTTGGAATCAATACAGATGAGTACTGAAGGAAGATACGGACGAGTATCAAGGAAGAGATAACACGGACGAGTGTTGGAATCAATACAGACGAGTATTGAAGGAGGATACGAACGAGTATCAAGAAAGAGATAACACAGACGAGTGTTGGAATCAATACGGACGAGTACTGAAGGAGGATGCAGACGAGTATCAAGGAAGAGATAACACGGACGAGTATTGGAATAAATACAGACAAGTACTGAAAGAAGATACGGACGAGTATCAAAAGGTTAAACACAGACGAGCGTTTGAATCAAAATGGACGAGTATCAAAAGTTTTAAACACGGACGAGTGTTCGGGAGTTTGACATGATGAGTGTTTAGGAATTGACACGGACGAGTGTTTAGGAATTTACGCGAAGAGTGTTTAGAAGTTGACACGACGGGTGTTTACGGAACTGACACAGACGGGTGTTGGAAATCTGAATTATTTGTCAGACAGGAGTTGGCTACCAGAAGAAAACTGGGTCTAGAATGACAAAGTGTATTGATTTTGATGGGCATTGAAAAGGTGAAGGTCATCTACTGGGGATTTTGGGGATGATATCCCCTTGTAGGGATATATTGCTTTCCTTGAATGATTCAGGTCTTTCATGTAAGGTACCTGATCTAGCTTATGCTTTGTATGCATGTTTGAATTTCTTTTGCCGCAAAGATCCACTCTGATGGATCTGCTACGCGCTTTTGAGGATGCATTGTTATGCAGTGATAACTATATGCAATGAAAAAGAAATAGAATTCATGGGGATAAGAGAAGGCTCGTTAGGAACCGCTGCTCATTATTGGGGATGCCAATACATATCGAGTCTGGAAGTCTGCAGTACCAAAGGTTGTTGGGGATATTGATAAGAATTTACACTGGGGGAGCCCATGATATCGAAGATTGTTGATGACTCTGCTGGAGATTGAATCACCGACGAAGCAAGCCTTCAGATATGCTGCTGAATTCTGAATCATACCGTTGGGGAAGAGATAATCTGGCCTGACTTACATACATCTTGAACCGTCAAGAGGAGGATAGAACTGAATATGCCGAAGAAAGGATAATGAACACCATGTGAATCTCTCTGAATACATGCCCCAAGTTTACGCACACTAGGAATTATCTCTTGAATCACTTGGGGATAAGAGATGGGCATGGACACCTATGAATGCCCCAGTTTAGCTCTGTGAATGCCCCGGTTTAGCTCCACTGGGGATGTTCTTGATTCACTCCACTGGGGATGCACTTGCGCGTGCCGGGTCAAATGACGACTCTGAACTTTCTGAATTCACTCGGGGAATCAGGTTTGAAGTTGTCTGTA